TTTGTCTCAGATACGGTATTTCGCAAATCCGGTATTTTAGAAATACGAGGTCTCGTGTGAACGAGGCTTATGTCGAGGCTAACATCCAACACAGGGACACGCCTTAGGCACTTGGTCACTCGCTTCGTTATAGGCAGTTCGATACGAGTACTGCCAAGTACGACATTCCGGGTAAACAAAAGAAACCCTCCCCTTATCATTAAAAAAGCGGACAGTGGCCTTGTTTCATAGACACATTAACCTGGAAGCGTGCACTGTTGCGGTTTGACTAACCGACGAACCCTGTGTGATTGTCTTTAATTGGTGATAAGGAAATAGACATATATATATTGTTGTACGTACACGTCTTGTCTGTCTACTATTTTATGCTAACCTCAGGGTAATTAATTCGTAATTACCTGCACCAAGCAAGAACCTTTTTGGGTACAACGTCACACGGTATACATTATACGTCACGAGCCGATCACACACACACACACACACACACACACACACACACACACACACACACACACACACACACACACACACACCAACACACACGAGAGTACACGTACACGAGTGGGAAAATCCATTCATTACACATGTTCTCCCCCACTGCATTCAAGCTATCTGTGCTGTCTAGTTGGCAGGGAAATATATCTTCTTGGAGTTCATTGCCCTGCTTGTTATTCATGTGAACCTGCCTCGATATTCGCAATATTGTTTTCTGATTTCCAGTTTCTTCTTCCATCCATGTCTTTGCCTGGAAAACTGTTAAATATTTAAAAAAATCGTGATGTTTTTGAATTTCTGACGTTTCTGAATAGTTCCTGAAACACTACAACAGTGTAATTTAATATGATACATTTGAGATTATTATGAACGAACCTCCTTAGATATCAGAATTTCAAACTCGTCCCCAACACAGTACCGAAATTCAACACACTATAGATTTTAAACAGGGAGAGAGAGACAGACAAAAACAGACAGAGATAGAGAGAAAGATAGAGAAGGATAGATAGAAAGATTCAGTGAATATATCTCCACCTGTACATCGCTCGCATTTTGCAGGTTTGTGACAACAGATGTCGCTCGCCTGCTTATATGGTGAGATTAACTGAGCCGCCCTGTATGTCTTTGAACATGTACAATACAAGTAAATACAATATAAAATACAAATTCTCAGTTGCACGATAACTATATACAATAAAATTACACACACCAGTGCTTTCTTAGAAATAAATTCTATCTCGTAATATCATTTATTACCCAGTGTTGAGACTTATTACTTATCACATATGTGATCAGGCATCAAGGCTTATTGATGATTTTTTAACGAGTATAGCAACAAATCAGTGTTAACTGTAATATTATCGCAGCCACCTGTGCTTGTCATTAAATAATATGATCAAAATAATATATAAAAAAATAATGATATATATAGGCCCCTAATAATAATATATAAAATATTACTAAAAAAACAAACAAAATATGATTAACATCTACGCACCTTATAACACAGCCCATCCGATGATTATTTTGTAATGGTGTTATTCAAATGAGTTTTTTCCCCTAAACCATGTGCTTATAGTTATATGATAACCGTAATAGTAATAGTATCACAGCCACCAGTACTTGTATGAAAAAAATACATTTTGCATAAGAGCACCCAATTAATTATTATTTTGTCATCGAGTTTTGGTATGAAATCATGTTTCCGATTTTGCACGGTAGTTGATTTTATGTTATGCTCAGTTCTTGTCACAAAAGAAAATCCATCATGTTACCTAACCAACTCGATGGTATGTTATAATCGAGTTTAGCAAACAAAACCACATGTTCAGTGCGTGTTTAACTACAATATTATTACAACCATGCTTTCCTTGAGTAAAAAACATCATAAGAGATAGCACTAAATGATTGTTTAATCATCGAGTTTGCTTTCAAAACCATGAAATATATTTCAATAGTTCTGTACAGTACTTTGTAGATACTTCCGTACACTTCCATTGTATAGATAAGTTCTTGACAGCGTGAAAAATTCAGGTATAAACTGAAAGCAATTTGCTTCGCAAGAATGAAATGTG